CTCAGTGATTCAATGATTTGGAATAAATCGCTTCGAGTCCAGAGTTAGAGCTCTCATTAGCTTTAGCCTGTGACATTTCCCAGGAGGAACTTGAAGCCTGTCCTGCTTGCTGCTGTTCCCCCATCACAGGTCCAGGGCAGCTGAGAACTCTTGGGCAAAGGTGCAGATGGTAGGTATTCAAGGCCACAGTTTCTTAGAAGGTAAGTTTCTCTTCAAAGTCCTTCAACAGTCTTAGCCCTACCCTATCATTTACTCTCTTCCCTTGAGCTGTGGAGCATTTCCTAGACCTGTCCCTAGGTGCTCTCAGGTTCTGAAATTACCCTCCATTCTTTTCCCATCTCCACACACAATCTATTCCTTCACATTTGGCAAGAAACCAATCTGTGACTTAGCTTCAGGTACTAGTAAGTTCTGTCTCTTCAAACATCTTTCACATTCATACCTATACTGCTTTTTATATGCACTGAAAATGTAACTGCTTTGGGATTAACTGTCATGAGTTTGGGACTCAGGGGTTCAATATTCGCTTGACATGAATCCTAGCCCTGGCACTAATCAGTCATATGGTTCAGTTTCTCCAGAAAGAAAGAGGCAAAAAGAATACTGGTAGTAACTACCCCTCCTCCACCCCCACTGCCAATGCCTACCTCTGACATGGGAGGAGACTGCACCATAAATCTGCGTTCTCTCTCCTTACCACAACTGTACTTCCTCCATATGACCCCAGAGATGCTGAGGTACTAAGTAAAAGTAATAGTAATTATAGTAATTTATGGAAACTGCTTATCATTTAAGCCTTAATTACCATGTAGCACAGTAACAATTATAAAAGCCATTAGATGTGTCAGATTCACTTTGCTGCATGTTTTATTTGATTTTTAACACTAACGTCTATTCACATAGGCTCAGTTTGTAGTTCACACAGCATGTGCCTTCCTCCAATTAAAAAAATATTAGTGGGAACAGTGCCTAGAAGGGGCAATCAGACACCTAAGGGAGAAATTAAAGAAGTAATTTGTTTCAAAGAGCTTCAAATATAGTCACTTCTCTTATCTCCCTCCCTACTGATAGGACTAATTATTTGCAGGAAGGGAGAGGAACATTTCTGACTTCCAGATTTCTTTGGAGAATCTTACTGGCTCAGTTCATTTTTGCACCATGACATGTGTAATGCTGCCCACCAATGAATGAGCTTGTCCTGGTCCAGTGAACTATGGCTGGAGAGGAGGGAGACTTGGTCATGTGATCAAAAATACAGATACCGAAATGAAATTAGAAATACTAAAGTATTTTAAATCTGACTTCAGAACTGGAGGAGAAAACTTAAGATAGCCAAGCTGGAACTCCTCACAGGTTTCTCTGGATGTTTAACACAACATTCCTGGGAATAAAAGCCAAAGTTTGGCATACAGTAGTTGGGTTACTGATCAGTAAATCTAACCTCTTTCAGTCAATATCCTGTCGACTTCCAGTGACTTGAGACTTTACAAGTAGGGCTGTAAGTTTCCAGTGAAAGGGAAGAGGTATGTAGACAACTCAACATTTATCCACTATTGGAAGTAGGGAAGTGTGCTGATAAAACTTCATATAAATGACCTTGAGTGAGGCAGCACTGTAATGCCAAGCAGTCACTCTACCTGGAGGCTCCTGCAGTGAACCCAGCCACTGAACTACCCTCTCTCCCAAATATCTCGTTCTCTCAGCATGAGGTTGTGACTTCAAGAAGCAAGCGCAGAAGTGAGAGGAAGAGGACACCCACCCAGCTAACACATTTCCATCTGGCCCAGTAGTCAATGTCCACACACTTACTAAGGGGATTATATGGGTTCCAATGTTTAAATAAATGCTGGGATGTTAGGATCTTTAGAATGGATTTCTGGGTTCAGCTACTCTTCCTTTTAAGATCCAGCATAATCCTGCCCCTGTATTTATCCCCCACCTCCCCACTCACAGCAAATGATCTGGCTTCCTTAGCCACAGTTACAAACAAGAATCAAAACAGAACCTCAGCAGTCTCCTGCTGCTGTCACTACCACCACATTCCCGCAACAACCCCTTCCTGTCCTCTCTTTCCCACGGGAAAGGAACGAGGTTACTTCCTTCCCTTTGCTTCTCGTTTCACCTGTGCTCCTCTGGCTTTATCAGTCAGCCCCCTAGCTCTTCAACAATGTCTTGCTCCATTTGATCCCATCCCACAAAAATTTAATCATAATTAATTTCTTGCACCCTAAGTGGGGGAAAAAAGAAAAGCTAAAACTTTATTTCATCCTATGTGTCTCTCAAACTATCCCCTTATTTTTCTTTCCCTTTGCAGTGGTTCTCAACCTTCCTAATGCCGCGACCCTTTAATACAGTTCCTCGTGTTGTGGTGACCCCCAACCATAAAATTATTTTCATTGCTACTTCACATAACTATAATTTTGCTACTGTTACATCTTAGGCAACCCCTGTGAAAGGGTCGTTTGACTCCCAAAGAGGTCGCGACCCACAGGTTGAGAACCGCTGCTTAGAGGCTAGCTTCTTGCAAGAATTATTTCAAATCTTCATTTCCTCACCAAATACTCTGCAATTCTTTGCAGTACAGTGGGTTTTTTGGTCAGTGTTATTGGTTTTTTGTCAAATCTAACAGATGTTTCATCTTTTTCTTCTGGTTGCCCATTCCTTCTGTTAGAAGTTCTCTTCCCTCAATTACCATATAACTCTTTTCTAAGTTTTCTTTCCCTTCTTTGATTCCTCTTCCTCCTTAGTCTTCCACTCATGCTCCTTCTGTTATCCTCCCTTTAAATGTTGGTATCATTCAGGGTTCCTGAATTCTCAGCTCTGTTCTAGGTCATCTAGTGTTTCTATAACTTCGGCTATATCCTCATGTTTCAAGATCCAGTCTTTATCTCAACTCCCTGATGAATCCCAGAGCCAGTAAATTCCCTACTGGACATTCTTTGTAGCCCACAGGCACCTCAAATTCAATATACCAAGAAAGGGAACTTATTATCTTTTCCACAAGGTGCTCCTTCACTGAGTTTCCAAGCTCAGTTAATGGCAACACAATCCAGTTAGCTGTCCAAGTAAGATTCCTAGCCATCAGGGCTGGCCTCCTCTCCCCCAATTACAACATAACAATTCTTTCTATTCTACCTAGAAAATGTCTCAAATATCCTGCTTCTCTCTAGCTTTAATGATACTGCCAGAATTTATTTAGGTAATTCATTTGTTCAAGAATCATCTACTGGTTATCTATCATTAGTAATCCTAGATTACTGACTGAACAGTCTCCTAGATTCTACTTTGACCCCCCCTCTAATCTATTATTCTCCAGTTTGCATCCTGAATGATCTTTAAAAAACAATCTCTTCATCAAAACCCTTCATTGGCTCTGCAAAGACAATGCCAAACTCCTATAATACACCATACAAGGACTTTCATGAGCCAGCTCCTGCTTGCTTCCCTTGACCACTCCCCCCAATCCATTCATCTGCTTCTGCCAATGTGCCCTTTCTCCAAGCCCTGATTCCTTCTCACCTCCATGTTAAACTTCTTCACAGAACTTTAGGAGCTACCTTAGGCATTAACATCTCCAGAACTCTTGGATCAGGTACCTCTCTGCTGAACTCTATCAGAGCACGTATCACATCATAAAACAACTGCCTGTTGCCCTACTTGTCTCCTTTCTCGGCTTCCTTGGGAGTTCTTTAAGGGCAGGGATCTAGTTTTAGTCAACTTTAAACCTGGATAAATATTTAATGAGCTACTAGGCTAAATGGTATTTTTTTGTGTAGGTCAAGTAAAAACAACTGTTTGTTAGTACTTTATGGGTTAGAACACACTGGGTAGGCTGCACCATCAACCACATATATATATTTTTTATCCTCACCCGAGGACATTTTTCCATTTTTTGTTCAGATAGAGTGGAAGGGAGGGAGGGAGAGAGGGGGGGAGAGAGAGAGAGAGAGACATCGATATGAAAGAGACACATCAAGTGGTTGCCACCCGCACAACCCAACCAAGGCCAGGGACAAACTGCAACCGAGGTACACGCCCTTAGCGGAAACCGAACCCGGGTCTTTCTGGACCACAGGCCGACACTCTAACCACTGAGCAATCCGGCCAGGGCACCATCAACCATATTTTAAGTGCAAAGAAACAAGAATGGAAAACTTAATTGACTTGCCCAAGGCAGGACTCTGTTCTCAGCCTCCTATATGTTAGGACTGAGAATATTCTATCAAACAACCATATCTCTATTGAAATATTTAGAAATGAGAAAGATAATTTATTCTGCAATAGGACTGTAAATCGTCCTCTAAATGTGCATTTTAATCTTTGGACATAAAAAAGGGTAAATGATTTTTTAAAAGAAAGTATCTAATTTGAATTAATACCACAGTATTGCTTAAATCTTTCATATATGAAGAAACATCTCCACTTTTACCACTGTATTTCAATCTCGGAAATTGATAAAAATTTAGTATCTGTGGAAGTTACAAGGTTTATGTTTATTAATATAACGAATAACTGAGAATAGTCAGAAAACTTATCTGTCCCTTCAAAGGTTCATAGCTTTATGCCCTTAGAAATGCCTAGTCATAGCCATCTTCTGGGTCTTAAATACCACTAATATACTTGTTAGATAGTCACACATAAGCAGCAATATTACCAATTTCTTTTAACCTGACCTAGGATTATATTCTACTTACCTTGATGTGCTGACAAAGACCAAATTCAATTTAGAACTAATTTCTCAAAGGCCCCAAATTTTCTTTCAGACATTAATTTCCAAGCATTAGGATCACCTATTGCTGGCATTTCAACAGGGATATATCATAATTCTCAGAATCAATTATACCACACTTTAGAGTAAAAAAAGCAAAAACAAAAATACCATTTTCCATCCAACTAATAAAATATTACTGTTTTATAAGATTATTTAAATTTGTCAAACAATTGTTTTTCAGTTCATTTTTAAGACATATATCAGTAATTTAAAAAAAATTAATACTTACAATATATCTTTGAAGTCTTCAAATACATACATATGCCTAAAGCTGTCAATAGCTATCACAGGGCAATCTGCTGGGGTTTTCTGTATGTGCAGAAGAGGGTGTCTAAATTTGTCACAGTCCGCATGTAAAAAGTTTATTGCACCTTTAAAAGAAAAAGAATTGGGAGAGGTAGATTAGGATTTTCTTGATTGTATTCTCATAAGATTTCAAGTTCATAAAAAAAAAACCCAAAATGCTTTAGAGTAATACAGATCACAAAATCTAAAACCTAAAATATTAGAACACTGAGGAGAGGTAAGATTTTAGTTCTTAGGGCAGAGTTTAATTTTTTAGAAATTATATGAACTCAACCCTGAATTCAAATGCTGTAGTGAATTTTTCATTTTTCTCACATGGGTACTCCTCCACTCTGCAGATTACCCAGGGCTGGGGAGCAAGTTCCTGAAACTGACATATAAACTGTTCTCCTGGGACCATTTTCATTTCCTCAAGGATGCCATCCCAGTACCTACTGGTTGATTTTTAATCTAAGTCAACCCCCAACATATTTACTAACTCACTAATATGGGTATGGCTCTACATAATACTTTCAGTTTATTATGTCTGCCATTCTTCTCTAACTACAAAGGGAAAATTGGTGATACCTCAAATTGTTTTTTTGATGTCTTGGAAGTCCACAGAATTCTCTTTCATTTAGAAATGTTAATCAGAATCTGTAAGTTCTCTCAGCAATATGTCTGGGGCTGTCTATTAGAAAGAGACCAGGCAAGTATCAATGTGCTACAAGAAAGTGCCTAACATTCTGTCCACCCATGACCCCACTGTTCACGCTATTGGATTTTAGGGATTACTTGACTATAGGGAGCTAAAACAGTCATGGTTGGAAAAAAAAAAAAAGCCACTGCTTCATATTATCTCTCTAGTAATGCCTCCCACCCCCATGTTACATGTAAATTCTGGGGCTGTAATGAGGGAAAGGGATAGGGAGAAAGAAAGAAAACAGAGAAAGGAAAAAAATAAACACCTTAATCTGTCTACCTTTTTCACTTATTAATTGTCGGGCTACTTCATTCTGGAATATTTCTAAACTTTCGGTATCTTCTTTCATGTGGAAGAGTATCAGAAATGGCAGTCCTTCTTCTGTCAACTCCTGTATAGAGAAGGATTCAATGAGAATTATCAGGTCTCTCCATTCATGGCTATTTTCTAGGAAGAAACAATTTCGCATCACAACAGTTGCAACATCCCAGGAAAAACAGAGTCCAGCGATATAAAGAAACATTAGCCTTAATGGAAGAAGGAACTCATTCCCTCCCCGTGAAGTGCCAGGGCACTCAGAGGACCCACATGTCCTGCTCTCCTGCAGGAACTAACCTTAAAGCAACCTCTGGGCTGGGCTGTCAGCTAGTACTGGATGAAACCATGATGTGATAAATGAGTCAACCAAAGGAGAAACTATGCTGGTTCTTTATCAAGACATTGATTTTAGGGTGGGGGTAAACATGTATTCCCCCACAGACTTTAAGGTGGGGTAAACTGTCCTCACAGATAACACTGAAAAACTGAGTGTACCAGAAGTAAATAAATCTGATTTGCAAACTTATGTTCATTTTAAGGCATATGCAAAAACTAACATGAGACCTACCCAAAGATGAAAAGTGTTTGATTCAGAGCAAATAAAGATTCCCATAACATGGCCAGTTTTCAACCAGCACACAATTTTCAACATTAATAAATACCCACCACTATATATGCTGTGTGTTTGTATACCTTGTATATATACATACGCAAAAACACTTTGAAAATGTATAAAGTTTTTAAAAAATTTATTATTGTTATTGGAAAATAATATAAGAGAAACGTGATACACTAGTAGACAGATTTAATCATTTATTCTTTCTGACAAATGCTAAGTTCTGACTCATAAGGAGAAGTCCAGAAAGGGTCTAATAAAATTATTTCCATCAACTATCCTTTTGCATGTCTCTCTGTAATTTAGAAACTGCCTCAGTAGAAAGCTCAAGTCCTGTACCCTAAAAAAACTGAAACTGGAACCCATCGTATAGGAGAAGAGTTTTCTCTTGGTTCCTAGCTTCAGGTTTAAGCCCACTAGATTCATATACAGAATAAATTATAAAGCTTCTTATCATTTTTACCTTTTTACAACTGACATATAATTCACATATCACAAAATGCACCATTTCAATGTGTTCAATTCAATGGGTTTTATTATATGTTACAAGGTCTGTAACCATCAACACTTCCTAATTCCACATCATTTTCATCACTTCAAAAAGAAGCCCCAGCCCAGCCAGTGTGGCTCAGTGATTGAGCGTCAACTCCTGCACCAAGAGGTTGCTGGCTGGATTCCCAGTCAGGGCACATGCCCAGGTGGTAGGCCCAATCCCCAGTAGGGGGCATGCAGGAGGCAGCCATCAATGTTCTCTCTCATCGATGTTTCTCTTTCTCTCTCCCTCTCCTTCCTCTCTCTCTAAATATCAATAAAGGAAAAAAACACATCCTGTCTTTAAAAAAAAAAAAGAAAGAACCCCATACTCTTTAGCAGTCACTCCCCATCTTTCCTCTCCCTAGCCCCTGGCATTACACATTGATCATCTGCAAACTGATTTCAAGTTTTCTCTTCCCCACTCTTTATCTCTTGGGCTCACAGTTTCTTTCCCTCATACATTGTTACTACACCCCCATGGTTCTGCCTTTGAACTTCTCTGCTCTAGCCTGGTAACTTCAACCAGGCCAACAATCTCAATCAGCACTTCTAACTGGTCCTTTATCTCTATGTCTACATGCCCAGCTCCAGTTTAGAATCCAAGTCTAGATTTCCAACTTCCTGCTTAATATTTCCATTTCAAAGTTTAACCAACCTTCAACACTCAGTATTAATGTAGCCTCCTCCTCTTACTCCCCTATTTTCATTAGAACTATTTCTCTTTTAGCCCTTTTATTTCAGAACTGAAGCTTCTTCTAGAAAACCATCCCTGATTCTGCTCCACTTCTGCCAAAGGGTGAAACGAATTCTCTCCTCTGAATTCCCAGAACATTTTCCCAGTGCCCTCTGTGGCATGGGCATGTCTTAATATTACATTACCTGTCCACGTGAACTACTGGACTGGTAACCCTTGATAACAGAGAATCTTATTTTACTTCTCTTTTGCTCACGGATTTTTATACCAAATAATGTGCAATCAGCCTATGATGAAATAAATGAGGACACAAATGTTTCTGAGTAAATACTAATTGAGAAAAGAGACTCAGGAATCACCTTTTAGAAAACTTAAGAGCTAGGAAGTTAAAAGTAAAAACAAATATAACATATAACTTTATTAGACCCAACAAAAGGTGGGTCTAATCAACTAACAACTATTAAGAGAAAGTAATAAGCAGATTAGAAGTTAGAAAAAAACTCTATTTGCTAAACTAATTCACACACATGAACACAGCAGTTGGTAGTTCATGCTGCTTGGGCCTCTAAGTTTCTCATGTCCAAATCAACACATTCTCTGTGGAGCAGGCATTAAAAGATTCAAGGGAAGGACATCAACACAACCAGGTTCAGAAGTTTCCCAGCGTTTAAATGATGGAGGCGTAGCTGGAACTTGTTTTATTGTTTAAGATTTTTTCAGTCTATACCTTTAAACTCTGTTTTTGAAACTATTCCTGCAAGAACTGCCAAAGCAGGTGAATAATTGAGACAAGTTACTAAATCTTTCTGAGCCTCTGAGGACTAAATGAGCAAATATAATAAAAATGTAAGTAATTCAGCCAAGCATACCTGAAGCCCTGAGAACTAAGAAACATATCAAGGATGTTCATTTGATAAATAAACAAAGAAGGAACACAAGCCAGCAAGCTTCCCTGGAACAAAACCATACTTACTTATGTATTGTCTAAGGCTGCCTTTGTGCCACAATTGCAATGCTGAGCTGTTTCAACAGAGACTACACAAACTGCAAAGCCTAAAATATTTATGATCTGATTCCTTTACAGAATTGCCAACTTCTGACTAGATGATAATTATATGGGTATGTTTACTATGTGATAATGTTTTCTAAATATTGCATTCTTAGATTGGGTATCTTAAACGCAGAGTGAAATGAAAAGATATAGTTCGAATGCAGTAAAGAAAAGAGAGGGTATCTCACAGACATAGCCCTTTGTGCTTGCTCCTTGACCTCTGAATTTTGTATTTTGTTTTGTGGGAGTTGTAAGTTTGCTTTATCTCAGGCACACTGGATCACTAAGGTCAGTTACATGACAACCTACAACTGCTTTCATAACTTCATTCTTTTAGGAGAGACAAATCAGAAAAACCTTTTTATGGCAAAGGATATTCACGCTATATTATTGTTAACTAAAATCTGCAGAGCATTGCTTCTAAAGGACATCCGCTAAACAAGGATCTTCAACAAAGGGTGGTTATCAGAATCATCTGAGGCATTTTCAAAACTGTAATGAACTACTGATGTTGCAGGAAATGCAAGAGGCGTCCTGGGACAACATGGGCGAGAATCACTGGCCTGTGTCACAGAAACAGCTTTGATGTCGTTATGTTCAACTGTACAATTTTTACTACAGATAAGTATGTGGTAAAATTGTAACATGAGTAGACAAAGTTTGCTTTTTCAGAAACCTGAATTAAAAATAACAACCCATATTAGAAAGCCCATACCTCTCCATTTTCAAATGTTATTTCTCGAACAAGAGGAACACATTTATCTTGAATCCAATTGTAAATCCCATCAAAATTTGTCATAGATCCCAAGTATACCATATCTGGAGCAGAATGCTGTTGTAAAAACAGAGAAAAAATACTGTATTAAACAAATCTAACCTGTGCTCCAAAAATGCATGCTTAAAGCCGTCTATATGAGCCCAGAAACCTACAGGGGACACAAAAGAAGCAAAGGACAGGGAACTTCTGAGAAAGGGCTGTAAAATGATAAGAAGCTAATAATTTTGTGATTATCAAGCACCCAATTCCTTGGATTTGGGTCAATTAACTGTTTATCAGTATCTTCACCAATGGCAGGCAGGCATTGTAAAAAAGAATTATCAAAAAAATTTAAGTTAGCTATCCCTTAGAGTTAAAGATATCAGAAGACAATTTGGAGACTTCCAGTGAAAAAGCCTTGAAAAATACAAGATACATAAATTTAATGGATGGCTATCTCTAATATTAATTACCTACAGTATTAATTACCTACAGTATCTACTTCTACATTGACTCAAAATCAATATTTATGAAGTACCTAAAATGATGATAAAAATAACAGCTAACATTAATTGAGTAAATTTGCTATGTCCAGGCACTGTTGCTAGTACCTTATATATGTTGACTCATTTAACCTTGAACATCCCCAAAGCAGGATCATATTATCATGGCTACTTTTACTAATGGACAAACTGAAGCAGAGAGGAGGTAAGCAACTTTCCCAGAGTTGTACACCTAGGAAAGTGGCAGACTTGACATTAAACTTGGTCTCATTCCAGAGTGCATGCTCTTAACAACCAAACTACATTGTGAGACACTACACTGGATTCTGATGATCCAGAGAAGCTCACACTTGTAAACTACTAAAGACATGCACGTGCAGAAAAATACTGGCAAATACTCATCTGAACTCAGAAAAGGAAATGAACTTTCTAAACAAAAATCTCATTCATATGACTCCATAAACATTAAAAACTTCAGTGTGGCCCTGGCTGGTATAGCTTTGTGGTTAGAGTGTCAGTCAGTGGACTGAATGGTTGCAGGTTCGATTCCCAGTCAAGGGCATGTACCTGGGTTGCAGGTTTGATCCTCAGCCCTGGTAGGGGTTGTGTGGGAGACAATCAACTGATGTGTGTATGTCTCTCTCTCCCTGCCTCCCTTCAACTCTACCTAGAAATCAAAAGAAAAATATCCTCGAGTGAGGATTAACAAAAAAATAAGTAAATAAATAAAACTTCAGTGTGTCAAAACACTACAAACAACATTAAAATGAAAATTATGATCTGGAAAAATATAGATTCTATTTTTGTGTGTGAAAAATTGCAATGACAAACTTATTAGTTAATTCATGTATTTATTATTTAAAATTATACACACTACAAAATAGCAACTTACCCCTGGTGGTTTGTAGATTATGTTATCTCCACTATATCTTTCTGGTTTTGAAACAGCCCTAACAGAGAGAGAGAAGTAGTACTAATACGTTTTAAGAAAAATAATAACAGTAATATACCTGAATGAAGCAGAATTGGCTGTTTTGCAATGTATGAATTATCTATTTTAAATATATATTTGTCCTACATATAAGACTATGCAATACCAACTAAAGCATATATTTTTGTTAATTTATTGAACAAAAATTTAATACAAGGCAGAATTTTTTAAAGGGAAATTTTAGTTACCTGCTTTTGTGACTCGGTATTTTATAAGTTTGGTTTGGCTGTTTTAGCACTAAAAAGCTATTTTTAAATCCAGACTGTTACCACTAACTGGGGATCAAGGTCATTAATATGGTCACATAGACCAATCAAAAAAACACATAATTTGCTTGTAAGTCAGACTCATCCATGAATTCCCTACTTTTTACTTTTAACATCTCAGCCAAACTGACTCTCAAATAAGACACTTACCCAAATGCAGAAAAGAAGGCACAATCATCGTGCAAAATATTCGCTACTCTTTGAAAAACTCTATAGTGTTCTGAATCCTTCTGCTCAAAATATCCAATAATATTTCTTTTGCTGCGCTGTAAAATAATATAATTATTTTAAAAACTTATATAGTTCTATAAACATGTTATTTCATTTACCCAGCTTGTTCAATCCAAATTAAGTATGTCTATAAATACACATTTGGCTTTTAATACTTGGTCCAAAACTATTAAAGATTGATTACATTAGCTTGAAAGCAATCTTAACTATAGTCAAATGTAATTATAAACATTTCTTTCTAGCATTTTATGTTACAATTTCAATAAATAGATTACTATTTAATCAATGACAATCTTTTCCTAAATCAGGTGACTAATTCTAAAATATTTTAAAGTAGTACATCAATTCATAACATGTGACTGACTATAGGTAGAGACTCCTCCCTGGGTCTCTCACACTGCTACACATGTAGTTCTACACAAACTGTGAAACCTTGACCACTCTTTACCGAGACCATTTCTCAAGGGTATGTCTGCAGCCAGCCACACTGAGGAATGAGGTAATGTCTCCCTCCAGGACAGAAAGCAGGCTTACTACCAGCACTGACACAGGAGTTCCCAGAGCCCAGAGTTCTCCTGTAACACAGCCCACTGCATACGCAGGCATCCACTGGGCTCTCTGTGTCACTTCCATAAGAGTTGGAGGTCCAAGAAGCAAATGCAAATATATTCACACTGATGGCTGTAATGTGAGCAATAAAGTCCTTTGTCACTGACCCATAAGCCTTATGTCTTTTGACAGCATCCATGAAACTACAACTGGTTAACGTATTAGCTTGCAAGGAGGGTAAAAATAGAATCTCAAACCTGACAATGACAATCTAAAGCACAAATGCAATTGTTTTTGTTTTTTTAAACACCACTTAGCATACAAAGAAAAGGGTTTGTTAAGCTTATTATTAAGTGGGGCTATTTTAGGGGGCACTAAAACATATACTGAAGAGCTGATATAGAAGTAATCGGAGTAGACACTTGGAGGGTCTCCACTAAGGAAAATATGGAAATTTTGGTTGTGTAGGTCTGCCGATAACATCTATTCATAATTCAGGTTACACTTTGATCCTAATTAATTCAAATCAGTACAACTTTACTGTATGCTGTACATTTTACCCAAAGGTTCAGTAAAACATTAGCATTTCCCTTGAAAATAATTGAAGAAAAATTCAACTTGCTAAGTATGTGTATGTCAAATCCATCGCAATGAACTATAAGAAAATGCACAGATTTCTTGATTGCATAATAACTTGTTTATATTAATTAAACAGGCAATGTTAATTTAATCCAGCAAAAGTTCACAACTTACATCAAGAGTGGTGATTTCTACTAAATCATGAAGTTCTTGAATGGGGTCACTTTTTTGTTGCCTGATGTAATCTGCAAGTGCTTTCACTGATCGCTGACCCCTGTACTCTCTCTTCATCATCATCCCATTACGAAACAATTTGAGGGTTGGGTATTTGCTTATCCTATATCTCTGGGCTATTTCAGCTAAAAGAATGAAAAAAAAAAAATTAACTTCACCTTTGTACTTGATCTGGGTAAGCCCGTTAGCCGAACAGTTCAAAATCTTACAATTACTTAGTGAGAACATTTTGGTTCAATCATTCTTTTTCAGTTGGAGGAAAAAAATTAATCATGATGAGTTTTTACTGGTTAAGAAGGCAAGCTTTGGACATATATTACCTGGTTTAAATCACAAATTTGCTATTTACTGGCTGTGTGAACTTGTAACTTGCATCAACTATCTATGCCTTATCTGTTAAGTAAGGATAATAATTTCTGCCACATAAGATTGTTTTAAGGACGAAATGAGATAATACAAATGCATGACACAGTAAACTCTAAATAAATGTTAGTTAACATTATTATAGATATATTCCAGAAAATAATCAGAATGCGTAAAATTCCGATTTTGAAAATAGTCGTTCAAATCTCTCTATACTATGAGGTTCTCTTACAGCATTTAATAAAAGAAAATTAAATTTAAATCACTCTCAAGGGCTATAGATTATTAGGTTCTTTCCTAGAAGAATAATTTATAATCCCAAATATGCACATTTTGTGCAAATATAATAAAACCCAAAACTCAGCAGCATACACTAAAAAGTAAATAATCCCTTTATTATGACCTATGGGTATAACCTCAGGCAGTAAAGATTCTTTTTTTTTTTTTTTTTTTAAGAGAGAGAAAGGAAGGGAGAGAGAGAAACATTGATCAGCTGCCCCTCCACATACCCCACCTAGGAATGGAGCTCGCAACCCGGGCACGTGTCCCAACCAGGAATTGAACCGGGACCTCTCAGTTCACTGGACAATACTCAATTCACCGAGCCACTCCAGCCAGGCAAGATTTTTTTGAATCATTAAAATTTGTGCTTATCATCTCAAAATAAGACCCAAAATCAAAATGTATGCTGATCTCATTTTTTAAGAATACAGTTACTAAGATGCCTATGTCATATCTGAAAATGATAAAAGACGCACTGAGTTTTTAGAATAACGGTGACCTGAGAGAACAATGAAGTGGTCTAAAACAGGTGAAACTGTTTTTCTTAACTAAGCAAAATATGATGGTAGAATTCTAAAATGGTGGCACAAAAAGCCATGAAAATTGTCTAACCCTGCCTCCATTTCTTGTAGTTGTAAAACAGAAACAAAACACAACAAACAGAATGGCAAAAAGCCTCTGTTGATCAGCTTAATTTTCTAGATTTAATAGTAGAGACAACTAGTCTAAAGGGAGACTAGTAAGGAAGCTTCTGCAATAGTCCTGGCAGAAATAACAAGATGTCTACTAACTTAAACACTGCAACCTTTAGGTTGCCTTAAAATTCTACTCATGGATAGAAAAGGATTAAGTAATACTTGGGCACTACGGGGGAGCAGAGGCTTGCTTAATCCTCAAACCCCATCACGCACGCAGTAGGTGTGCTGCACAATGAGGTGCCTCTTAATTATTAAAAAGCAAAAACCTTAAAATTACATTGATCAATTCTCTCAGACATAAAGGTGACTTTTTACAAGCTTTGACCTAAAATGATTTTAAGACAATTACAATGTGACATCTTGACAATATAACAATGAATTAAGGGATATAGTAATTTTTTAATCAACTGGATGGATCAAATGTTAAAATAGATGTCAAAGGAATTAAAATTACGGGTTAATAGCTCACTGATTGGAAAATTAGCATGTACTTTTGCTTCCGTGGTCACTGACTTCTTTCTTCTTGCCGGTTCTGCTGCCTACTCAGTAATGCCCAGCAGGGGTCCAGTGGGCGACTGCCTCGCGCTCTTGTCTCAGTAGTGCCCACCCTGCTACGGTTATTCATGGCAGACAGTACAAAAAGGCAAATGATTTCAACAGATAGGTCTTATGGTTCTTGTGGTAAGGACCGCTGCTGCCAATGTACTTTTTCATTCCCAAACCATGCCTTCCTCTCAATGAGGAAATAACAAAAACACAACAAAATCAGACCTTAAATGGAAATACTACAGAGAAAGCCTGGATGCTTACTCAGACTCAGGTTAAGCCTGTACATCCAAGTTCTGTTTATGCACAAGAATTCTTTCTGTATATTTTTCTTTAAACTCGTGTTATTGAAATATATTTGGCATTTAACACTGTGTAAGTTTAAGGCGTACAATATGTTAGTTTGATACATTAACATATTGCAGTATTGCAATACTGTCATTGTAGGATTAGCATCTCTATCACTTCACATAATGGACATTTCTTTTTTGTATTGGAAATAATTAAAATCCAGCAAGTTTGATGTTTTTTAATACGATACTGTTGTCTACAATTATTTTATTTTTCTTAATGCCTCATTTATGTATAGCTTTTATAAAATTTCTCAATTTACAATGTGGAAGGTTAGAGTTAGCACTGGAAAGAAGACAGGCAGGAGTAACTCTGGTATTTGGGAGCATGTACTTGCCTAATTCAAAGACAATTACAAAGTACTTTCCTAAAAAAGCTAGGAGTTCTGCACTGACCAGCAAATCTTATACGAATATCGCCCTGGCCAGTTTGGCTCAGTGGTTAGAGCTTTGGCCTGCGGTCTGGAGAGACCCGGGTTCGGTTCCCGCTAAGGGCACGTACTTCGGTTGCAGTTTGTCCCCGGCCCTGGTTGGTCGTGCGGGTGGCAGCCACTCGATGTGTCCCTTCACGTTGATGTTCCTCTCTCTCTCTTCTTCCTCTCTCTCCCTCCCACTCTATCTGTACAAAAAATGGAAAAATAAATATCCTCGGGTGAGGATAAAAAAAAAAAATCTTATACGAATATCTACTGCCATACAGCCCATAGCCACTGGAGGTCAGCAGAGAACCCAGTCACACCAGGGGCAGATGATGGGACTTTGTACACCTAAGGCAGCATGACTACCACCACAAGGTAGAGTGATGAATTCTCCCAAATTCCCCAAATGAGAAGCTAGCAGAAGATGAGATAAAGTGAGATCATGATCCACAGCTGAAACAAGGGTAAGCTTTAATTGTGTACATATGTAGAAATTTTAGAAAACAAAGAAAATTACAAAGAAAAAAACAAGAATTTGTAATCCAACCACCACAGGGGAAAATGACTATTAATGTTTTGGTTATATTTTGCTAATTTTGAATAAAATTTGCTTAATTAGTACTGACGTTTCAATTGAGAAAAAAACAAAAAAAACAAACTGAGGTTAGTCAAATAGTAAAATGCCAGCATCAGTACTTGCAGAATGGGTATCAGCAGCTTGGAAGAAAATCCTAGAAAGAGTATAGCAACATTATTCAATCAAGAGCATTACCAATACTCTTAATGGCACAGAAGTTGATATTGTGTGGAAAAAAACACAAAAATCAGCTCAAAATTGCAAAGTGATACATAAAATTCAGATCTAGAATGTGAAATTCTTTCAGGATTACTTGAATAAATTCATTTTCCTTTTTAACTATACATAATAATATGACAAAAAATATATTTAAGTAAGTCTAAAATAGTTATTACAATAGATATAAAAGTACTAAGTGATAAGAAAGCAATGTGTTGCAGTTCAATTTTTCTGGATTTTTTCCCACTTATACATGTAAGTGTGACCTATAATCAGTGACAATTTAGATTTAACAAAATAATGCAGAAAATACTTCATTGTACTGTTGGGAGGTAATGAAATAAACTACTTAAAGTACTTCAAATAGTATCTATAAAATTAACAGTTCGTAAATACTGGCTACTACTTATTATTATTCATTTATCCACCCATTTATTCAACAACTATTATTGAGCAACTACTTTGTGCTAGGCACATTCCAGTGCTAGGGATAGGGGGGTAAAAAGACAAGGTCCACCCTGGCCGGTATGGCTCAGCACCTGGAACGCTGGCCTGCAGACCAGAGAGTCCCAGGTTCAGTTCCCTCTAGGGGCACGTACCAAAAAAACAAAAACAAAAAACAAACCAAAAAAAACAAGGTCCCTGCTCTTACAGAGTTTACACTTTATCATCATGATTTTCATTAATATCACTGCTGCTGCTGCTGCTGCTACTTCTAATTGTTTACAGAAACTAGACTCTCAAATGAAATTCTCAAAACTCTTAATATATAAGTACAGAAAAGATGTACCAGTCTGGATTCCATTATGCACAATATAAGAAAAGCCTTTATAATAAGTTAATAATAAATAATTCTTCACCAGAGATGTGGAGATTGCTTTTATGGGCCTGCCAGATGGGAGAAGCTAACAGGGCAGTTGTCAGATCTGTGACAAATATGAACCCGGCACCCCAGTCCTCTGCAGGATGTGTGGCCAGACCTGCTCTGCTGCCATCACAGGACATAAATGACCTCTGGGCAGGGGGAAGAGGTTGTTTCTCAACATTCTCTCTCTTGATTCTGTCTCTTTAATTGCCCTGATTTCCATTTCCTTTTTTTCTTCCTTCCACTTCTCTCTTACTTTGTTCCCTGCATTAGATACAATAAATGGAGAATTTAGGGGCTTAGGAAGTGAACTAAATTTTACCACTAGGAGAGGGTTATTCAAGCTACAAGCTCTACACTGGGATTTCAAAATATATACCTAAGCTTACATTGTTGGAAGCTTCCTGGTGACACTCCAGCATTGGTCTGAGTTCAAAATTCTCTTTCTACAGTTCCCAGCTGTTTTGTGTGTGTGTGTGTGTGCAGGCCTTTTTCATAGTAAAAATAAAGAGAAATTACAATTAACAATATCACAGTACACCTGTACAGTACAGATTCGAAGCTTCTTCCACAGACATCTTAAAAGCTCTAAAGCAACAAGGTCCTCCTTCTGGCTCTTTTCTTAACCAAAGACAAATTACAAATTCAATGACTTTTTCTACCAATTTTCTATTTTGCAAATATTCAAACTTACAGAAAAGATGAAGAAGTAATATCCTCACCTACATTTAATACCCTCACCCAGCCCAGCTGGTGTGGCTCAGTGGATTGAGCATCATTCCGTGGACTGAGAGGTCCTGGTTTGA